CAGTTCAGTAACGGTTTTCAAGGGGACAATATTTACTCAAATTGATGGGTTTGGATGATGGGGGAAAATCGTGTCACAGGCTCTTTAAACCAAGGAGGGAGTTTTGCTTTTTACATTGTTTCCTCCTACTCAGTAATTCATGACAAATTCAATTATAAAGACAACCTCAAAAACAATCATTTTGTGAAAATCTGAGGAATATCTAAAAAAAGGTGAACGTGTCTGTTGACCCCTCAGGTTTACTAAGGTTGGGAACCCTGGATCTAATGGATAATACTGTTAAATCAACTATTTTGCCATTCAAAACTAATTAACACTCACATTTAAACATCACCACTAAACTCATATCACATTATTTGAAATACAAAAATGTAAACATTGTTTCTGCTGACCTCCGTCAATTGAGTCTATTCAGATTAAAAATAATTGTATACATGCAATGGAACATTTGCATATGCTTCCAGCTGATCTTAAAACCAACCATCAAACATTTTACAGTAACTTGAGATGCACATTTGAATGAAGAGTACATTTATAGTTATATTGACAAATGTACTAGTATTTATATTGTATACATCTGTACTTTGACCTGTTTGAATTGTTAGTGTGATTGGCATTACGTTTTTAGTGTTTGTTGATTGTTATACGTGTACCTGCCCAGGGACTGCAGATACAAGTGAGGTTTTAGTTGCTTTGACTGGAAGTAAGGTCATGTCATTACTAGCATGGCTACTTTTTCAGTTCTTCTTTATACAGTAGTTGATCAGTGTTGAAGCTATATGTTGATCATGTTATTAAATTGTAGGGCTGTCCCGAATATCATTTTTCGGGCTCCGGATATTCGGTAGTAATCAGCAGCGAATATTCGGCAGGATGATTTGGAAGGGGGGGGGTGCGTAGTAATCTGCAGCGAACCGCTTCAACACATGTATTTCGGTGTATTCACGGCATTCATTTTGTTATTCTACAGTATTGTTGTTTTATAGTTATGTGTTAATGTATATAACCCAATTTGTGTTCTTTGAAATTGAAAAGGATATTGCATTGTGTGTGTTACTTTCGTTGCAGTTGTATATGTCTTATCAGAGATGGAGTACTCGAGTCATGGACTCGGACTTGAAGAGTGGTGACTCGAGAGTGACTTGGACTCGTGAATTGGTGACTTGACTACAACACTGTCTTAAGTGTAATTTGGCTTGGCTTCCTATTTTGTATGGTCATGCTTTTATTTTGAAGGAGAGTTAGCGCTGTTGACAGGAAGTTATTGTTGCTATGGAAACAACGTGACGGAGACTAACAGAGAAAAAGTAATAGGCCTATCTACATTATAAAGATGGAGACAGTAAAGAATAAAGTTTATGGTTAAGTGTTAGCACCCCTCGAAGAGCCACAAGCTTTTACGTTGATATTGGAGTTTTTAATAAATTCAATTTGGCAGCCGCAGAGCAGCGCGGCTGCCAAAAAAAAACAATAACGAAATTGAAACCCGAATAGTACTCCAACGAACAAATATTCGGATATTCGGGTACAGCCCTATTAAATAGTTAAACATTTATTGTCATTTTTGTTTATTGTAAATGTACCATTTTATATTAGTGTAATTTAAGTTAATTGAAGTAGTTGCTTTAAGCTCTATTCTGAAGGCAGCTTTGGGATCCTGGTGATTATGTACATATTGGAAACAGGTGGTGCACCAGAAGCCAGATGTCTTTTAATGAAAAAGCATGCCACAGGGCTATTATACATTGGAAACCTTTTCATTGTATTTTGTTCGCATTGGTTAATGGAAATAAAAGTACAAACAAAATTATGGCCTGGACTTGGATCTTTCCCTGCCTGAGTTTCGCTATCTGGTGCCTCAGCGGCCGTTTTACTTTTGAGTTGATTTTCAGTTTGATTTCTTAATGACATTGGCCGCTTAAATTAGTATAATGATACAATGGGGTATCAGCTGACAGTGAGCAGAAACTAACCAGAGGCTTCCCAGTCCAGTCGTACTGGTAGTCAAAGATGTATCCGTTCCTATCGAAGAGGTCTGTGAAGAGTTTCCTCAGGTAGTCGTAATCTGGCTTCTCGAAGAAGTCCAGTCGACGCACGTACCGCAGGTAGGTGGCCATCTCTTCTGTTACAATCACACAGGTACCAAACCCACACACACATTCAAACAATGAGACACAAGATTTGATCAACATATGCTAACTTGACCATATTTGCAACAGCTGCAACACTATATTTTGTATTTAATTTGTAGAGCTGTGTATATACACACCTGGGAAGTTTTCACAGAGGACCTCTATAGGTGTGTCTCTCTTTGTGTCTCCTATCTTCTGATAACGTTCTTTCAGAGTGTCAGCCTTATGAAGACGGAGACATGAAGGAATGTATTCACTGTTTGTAATGGAAGGCAGCTTAGGAGAGGTGATGCAGAGGGAAAAACAAATCTGACAGGACTGATAAACACTCACCTTGAGGCCCTGCCAGGGTAGGCTGCCTCGCAGGAAGTACATGAACATGTGACCTAGAGCTTCCAAATCATCCCGCCGGCTTTGCTCTGAAACACAGGAAAACCAAAGGCTTTAATTACTCTTGATCACGACAGATGGGGTTGTTTGTCCCATATTGAGTAGGCCTTCAAACTCAATCAGAATGAAAACAGTGACAAGATCATTATTACAAGAATAAATAGCTTATAATTGTGATGACCCACTAATATTTCACACTATTTATTTAGCAATTACGCAAATATACTTATTTTCTATATCTTTTTCAATTGACTGACTGACAAAAACGATTTGAAATATGTGACCTTGGGGAGCACGTTTTCCAAAACTATGTGATATTATAAAAACCTAAATATCAGAACTCTCTACACTCAACAAAACAACATCATTAATTCAGTCCCAATTGTTTCACCACATTTAACCGTGTCCATTTTCCCCTTTTTTGCACACTTTTTCATCTTCAACCGTCCTTAACTTGGGGACAACTGGCCGCGGAGAAAAGGCAATTTTCCTGGGAGGGAACGTGCTAAAAAAGGCACTTTTCTGTATAGTTACTTGCATTGAGCTGAGCCAAACAAAGAAACAAGTTCACTTGATGGACAAGCGAACGCTCCTGTTGCTCAATCATCTAGAACTTTGCAAGTATAAAATAATACAATTATTTGGTATTATAAAAGTGAGGTCTACAGGCAAAATAAGCGGAATGTGCCATTTGGCATTTTAAATGAAACAAAATAGCTTTTTGAGAGCATTCAATATGTGTAAGATAATCTTTGAGAATGAGGGCCGGTGTTCACATCACAAACTAAGTTGTTCTCCCGAGCTCCCTGCCAGTGTCTTTCTGCCAGATCAAGGCGCTATGTGGTCACAGGCCTACAAAGTGCTGATTCGTTCCAATGTTGCATTTCTTAAACGCTAATTATCTTATTTTTATTAATAGTGCAATTTCAAATATTATGTACACTTTATACTCCTTATATGTAAATTGCTCCACAGATTTTCTCAGGTAGAAGACACTTACCGGTATATCATATCACAATTGTGTGATTTTGTTGTGTTTCTACAATATTTGTACAAAATTCTGCAGAATCCTCAGCTAATTATTGAATTTATTAATAATTATCGAAACGCAAATGAAACGTATTTTGCTTACACACACGCCTAGACATCTATGGTTGATATGGTACATAGGTATCATTAGCGTGCTGCTAATGATGGCATGCTTGGTCGAATGCACTTATTGTAAGTGGCTTTGGATAAAAGCGTTAGCTAAATGCAATGTAATGTAATGCTTACCTTTCCCCAGATGTGTATTGATGCTCATGTATCTAGCCGTTCCAGTCAGACTCTTGTGCTCTCTGTATGGGATGTGTTTCTTCGTCTCTGGGTCAATGTATTCCTTGGCCAGGCCGAAGTCTATGATGTGGATGGTGTGTTGCCGTTTGGAGCCCGGTCGGCCCACCAGGAAGTTTTCAGGCTTCACGTCCCGATAGATCAAGCTTCTGGTGTGGACAAACTCCATGCGGGTGATCTAAAGGAAAAGGAACAGAGCACAAAAGGCTAAGAATAAGAGAAAAAGAACAATGACTATGTCACCACTGTTGTGCAGTTAGTCCATCCATTACTGGAGAATCTCACTGCTGTAATTGACCTGCTACCACACTTCATGCTACATTGTTACATTTATTTTATATATACTGCTTTTACTTACTTATCTACCTGAATGTATATTTCTGTAAATTGTAATCATTTTATTAAAAACATCATGAGCATGACTTATATCTAATTGGGTTTTTTACATCTTTATCCATACATTTGCTGCAACAATGTACATTTCCCCTCTGTGGGACGAATAAAGGAATTCTGTGTTTAGAGATCAAAATCAAAATAAATCGGTTTTACCAGCTGTATAGCTATCATGAGGACAGTTTTCAGAGAGAAGGTCCGGTCACAGAGGTCAAACAGATCTTCTAGGCTGGGTCCCAGCAGCTCCAGAACCATAGCGTTGTATTTACCACACGGTCCAAAGTAAAATACCTGGGGCACACCCTCTGGGTGAACACACAGAGAAAGGACAGTCAGAACAGGAGTTGGACACATTGAGAAATCAACACGGTGCAGTTAGCTTCTGTCTGGCAGGCCATACTGAAGCATCTGCTGTCAGACCCACCCAGAGCAGCCTCTCTCCTCAGGCTGTAGGACTCCACTAGACCATCATCAATTGTTTATCTTTTCCTTGTGTAGAAACTGGGACTACAGCTTGTGCAACCCTGTCTCTAGAATGACAATAAATCATGAACTCGTGAAATATCCACCTAAAAGCCACAATGGCTGGGTGAGTTGACTCCGCTCAAAATACAATACAATACTTCATTCAACAGCAAATTAATGATATGAATATCTTTTAACAGAGATATGTCTTCATTATTTTAGCCGTGTGCATGTGACCTAGGCTACATTGAAGAAGTGGTTATCCAGTGACCTACTGTGAATAAAAGCTAAATTGCAGGCTCTGTGTATGTTGTCTTAACTCAATTCTGTGTGTTTTGGCCGTTTCTGTTTTTAAACATGACTTATTTAAAATCGTAATTCTCTCTTAGTCTACATTTTCTACATTCGCCTTTTATCTGCAATGTACATTTGCTGCTCTCACACTGTGGGACAAAATAAAGTAGTGATTTCCGATGTCGCAGAAACCATCAAGATTGAATCTTGTGCTTTTTTTTATTGCACCACCAGCGATTTTGTTGTTTTAATACCATCTAGTTATTAAAATATTTTTGGGTAAACACAAATGGAAATTATATTTTTGACATATAACGCAGGGAAGTGAAATCTGTATACTCTTTATGAAGCGCACAAGTGGCTAAGTTTGCACTGCAGAGACGGTGGGTTTAATATCCAGTGGCAATCCTTCTGGTCGGTTCCCGTGTTCCAATTAATCAAGGGGTCTTGTCTGTTGTTGTTGTTGTTGTTGTTGCTGTTGTTGCTTCACTAACAACTCGTACTAGTTGATCTGAGGCCTGTACTACGAAGCCGGATTTTCGCTTAGCGCGCTAACTTCAGGGAAAACTCGGGGTTTCCAGTCCTACGACGCTGGTTCTCTTTTTAGCAGGCTAGATCTCCATGGTAACTTATGCTGAACGGATAACCTGGCCCCCNCAGAGTAACATTAAGTACAGTCCGCGGCACTGTGAGTGCAGACGTCGATGTGTCCCATTATCATTTACATCCAGGCTATATGCAGGAATCCTGAAGTCAAATGTAATACCTTTTAAGACCTTTTTTAAGACCTTATCCATACATTTTAAGACCAGCTGTATTCACCTTGCAGGTGCAACTATGTGGCTTTTATCCTGGATAAAGTGTTTAAGTCATGGATGTTTAAAGTTTAACTTCTTCATATTTGTCTAATATTATAGTTGACTTTTCATTCAGGAAGTATGACGCGCTGCGCTGTCAGTACGCTTGTCCATGTTTGTGATTGGTCGAATGCTCCAAATACCACCCCTTTCATGTGAACGTGCACCTAACTAGATAGGACACGGCTGGTTTGAGCGATCCACTTGATAACCCGCGTCGTAGGACCATTTAGCGAGAGCGCGTATGTTTTGGATTAGGCCAACCGGCTAACTCAAACATATGTTGAACCGGCTTTGTAGTACAGGCCTCTGGACATCGGCACAATAGAGGGAGAGCATCAACATGTCCAAAACATCGAGACTACACCCTCCCTAGGTCAAAAGTGTAGCAAGATATAAGATCAGTGCAAAATCAATCAGGTATTCCAGATGGGCCAAAAATATGGTCAAATCAGCAGAATTGTTTGACTAATATGGGACTTCTCTTTCAGAAATCATGATAAAAAGGAGAACTTGAAAAGGCTAATTTACTAATTCATATTTGTGTTTATCAAACGAACAAAACTCCTTATTCTTATGAATGTTAGTCACATGGAAATCCTTTCATTAAGACTCTGCCGATTGTCACAGTAGAAGACTTAGTGAAAGCCTTACCTGAACTCCCCAGCTGTTTGTAGAAGCGATATTCTAGGTGAAGCTGTGGCGCCCGGGACTTGATAGGCTCCTACAAAAGGAGGATGATGTCTCAATAACAATAGTCACACAACAGAGGTAGTAGTAAACAAATAAAACCCATTTCATAATATACATTTTTCTGACACTGCTGTCATACTGAGGATCCCAATTGTTGCAAGTATAGGATGGTTAAGTACAATGTGAAACAGCTTCATATGAAAAATGGAAGAATAATGCTCCTTCTTACTTAGACTAATAAAGTGTGCTGTCCTACAAAGCTATATAAGGACAGTGGTGCAAAGTAACTAAGTACAAGTACTGTACTTAGTTATTATTATTATTTACTTGAGTATTTCCATTTTATGCTTAAAAAAAATTGAGAGGTCATTTGTGTACTTTTATTCCACTACATAATACAAAATATAATCAACACTTTAAGGCTTTAGTTGCACCCGGAGCAAATGTCAAAGGCCACACAAAAGAAGAATTAAATTCCAGCTTTACAGGCTTGGTAAACCCATTTGAACATCCATGATTATAAAGAAAACATCAAAGATGTGATGTATTATTATGCTGCTGTGTTTATTGTATTTTCGTAACACTGGCACCACAATTTCCAATAAATAATGACTTATCTTATCTTATTCTGAAATGGGCCAATCTGCATGATAAGTACTTTTACTTTTGTTACATTAAGTATATTTAGATGCCAATACTTTTGTACTTGTACTTGAGTGACATTTTGAATGCAGAACTTAAAACTGAGTTTTACTACACTATGGTATTTCTATTTTTACTCAAGTGCAAGATCTGAGTACTTCTTCCACCTCTGTATACGGAGAACTTATTTTTACCAGTTTGATAGCCACGTATTCGTTGGTGTACAAGTTCTTCCCAAGTCGCAGCTCTCCAAAGTTCCCACAGCCGATCTTCTTCCCGACCCGGAAATTTGGTCCGACCATCAGAACCCCGGAGTTGGAGCTGGTTCCCCGGCTTCCGTGCCCCGATCGACTCCCTGTCTTCCCGGGCATCCTCTTCCCCTCCTCTGCCTCCCCTTTCGCTCCACCTCCACCTCCCCCTCCTCCTCCTCCTCCTCCTCCTCCCCCCACTCCTCGCTTGTCAAAGTCCATCAGTTTGTGGTAGCCTGGCCTCTCCACGGTTAAGCCGATTCCATGCAACCACAACAACAACTACCAAAACAACTGCCTAGCAGCTCGACAGTCAAATGTTAGGATTTCCTACACTGAGACAAAACGTGGGAAATTTTTTTTAAGATGAACTGGGATAGATGTGAGATGAATTCGTAAAGTATGAAGTTAAGCAGAGCAAAAGAGCGCTTAGTACTATGAAAAAGATGGGCTGGTGAAAGTGTAAAAAGCAAAAGCTGATGATTATTGGGTGGGGTGTTTAGATGACTTAATGAAAGAGGTGAACAAGATGATGGGGTAAGGGGGTACCACTAGCAACTAGTTTTAAACCCCCTTGCAGGGGCCAGAGATGGTGATGGAGGCAAAGAGGTAATAGCCTGGTCAGTCACCATACGTTGCTATCCATATGCTAACATGCTATATGAAACTTGGAAGCTCCGCTAGCTTGAGGCTTTAGACAAACCAGTCCACCATGACAACTGCCTCTCACTCAGCCCCAGGGCACACTTTGACAACAGGAATGTGTTGCATTGATCAAAAATTATTTAAATCGAACTTTCCGTTACCGCTAGATACTTTAGGTGTGTGATTTATTGCCATAGGGCTTGGTTAGTTTCTCTTCAGCTTGTGCTCCTTTAAATGCTGGATCTCTGTACGTGTCTTCTGTCGCATAGAGGCTGATAGTCTGTCACAACGCTTGGTCCTATGGAACACCGGCTGAAGCTTTGGGCCCTAGGTGTGAGGACCGCTGAGTGATGAGAAGTTTTAAAGCACCACCTGGAAGAGATACAGACAAAAAGATTAGAAATGATTTAATCAGAATCAGAGTCAAATGTATTGCCAGGTACGTTTACACATACACGGAATTTGCTTTGGAGGTGCTAACAAAAACAACATAAGAATATAGGTTGTAAGAGGTGAACAAAATAACGATTTTAAAACCATTTGAAATGTCAAAACCTCATTTAGTGGTATTGGTAGGATTAGATTTATATGGAAAAACCTTTATAGCAGAAGTGACAGCATGTGTCCTCTAACAGAAAACCAGGCAAGATCTTCCTCCTGAAGGACAGGACATGTTCTCTAGTTTTTCTGATTTCCTCTTCTAATAATAACACTCATCCTGGCTTCTCCCGTTCATTCCTCCTCTCCTCTCAGTTTCCCTCTGCACTTCATTTTCTTGCCATGCTACGTAAAGCCAGTAAATAACAATGTATGTATTTATGAGGTGCTAGTAGTATATGAATTCGGTTAGAGTCCAGTCCAACAGACCAAGGACGGAGTGTTGGCCTCCCTGGCACTGCCGAGGAGTCCTTGAGTACACCAGCCTCCCACACTCCTCCTTGGGCGCTGGATATATAATAATATAATATAACTCACTGCTCCTCATAGTAGGATGGGTTCAATGCAAATTCTGAATGTCCTTGTTTGTACTATGGGCTCAAATTCTCCATTCTCCATGTATTCATTAGGATCTAACTATGCAGTTAGAAGATGAAAATAATCATTGTTCTATCTATACAATTTACCAAAAAATATCAATGTTCTTTGTTGCAAGTCAATTAGTTGGCACTGAGTGAATAGCAAAGACAATCAGTTCTAAATTACATTTGTAAATATTTTGTTATTCTAGTTTTATACCACCAAAAAATTGGCTTAACAACACATTTAATTGAAGATACACAGATATATAGTCACTTATACTCACAACAAAACACTCCATAAAAGAGGTTTGTGTTATTCTTTCTATGGAGGTACTGTTCCTACAAACGTCACAGCCTTCATGCCACACTGATGTATGTAAGTTTAGGTTGTTCTGTATTTGACTCTGTCAACAACAGAACAACAGTTACTACCAAGGGAATCAGGGCCATTTCTTTAGTCACGATAATAACATGGAGGGGAAGAAAAGCAGTGAGGAGGAGGAGGAAATGTCTGTGATAGTGGGCAATGCATTGTATGTGGACGCATCTCCTCTGATGTCATTAACAGGAAAAACATGACCGCTGATCCGCTGTGAGGGCGACATGTGAACTCTAAACACCAGCAAAGTGACCCACTTCTTATATGGGTTTTTTGATTGTGTTTGCTACATTTCTGCAAAGACTACATAGAAATGTTCACAACAATCAATAGAACTTCTTTATGTAAAACAGGCACTTGAAATGACAACAGAACAGTCATAATGTATCACTGTGGTACATTAAAAACAACTATAACAGTCTAGTCAGATATTGACATTCTGATGTCATCAAACCCCTCTAACTACAGGCGACCCCCACAGGATATTGTAGCCAATAACAGCAGCTGAATGCATGTTAAAAAATGCCAATAGCATTGTATTAACTAAATATAACACACTGCAGTTTGTCATATATTCATTGTATTAAGTTTGTACTTTATTTAATATATTTTTCTCTATTCTTTTTTCAAATATATATTTTATTTGTATATTCGTTATATTTTGGAGCAAATTCCTTGTATGTGTAAACGTACCTGGCAATAAACTTGATTCTGATGAACATTGTGATTCAGAAGGATCTCTCATGTGTGACAACAACTTTAACTACAGAGCCGCTGCCTGCGTCGTCTCTTTACCTGTGAACTTGAATAAGTCGTTCCTGTGGTAACATTTTCAGCCCAGGTTTACACATTGACAAAATGAGGTTGCTCAAAACTAAGCAAGCAAGTTAGTGAGATCTGCTAAAGTCCCAATTCATATTCAAATGTATCTGCGGTGACTGTAGTAAGAACCTGTAATTATATCCGCTGTAGCAGATCAAACACACATCCCACAGAGGCCTCTGTCAGATTGAGCTACAGACAGCACAAATCAATAATACTGTATAGGCCATATATGAGAAGGGTTAGGCCTGCGCAAAGCAAGAGGCAACCTCACTCCCACAGTCTTTGGCTCAGCTCAAAGAAAAGATGGCAACTCTGGCATGAACAGAATCTAGAAGAGTGGCCTTTTCTTGAACATTGCTTTGAGCTAGTTATGTTTGGTAAACATTAACTTGCTGTAACAACTCTGCTCCTTTTTGTCCCTTTGCTTTTGCATATGTATGTATGCTATTTATGTCTTTTAACAAATCCTAGGATAACAAATAGTTCCACTTTCTTTAGTCAATTCTCTACTAAAATCAAACCATGCCCCTAACTGGAAAATATCTTCAAAATAGGTTAGTATCAATCTATTTATGCTAGGTACATATGAAATACCTTTACCATATTTAAAATGTTCTTTGACCCCAGTACTACTTATAACAACGGATCATATGTTCAAATATTATTTGAGGGTGCACGGGAAAAAAGGCCTTACAAAGAATCCTCGGAAACCCTTACCGGCAAATAAACTTGATTTTTTATTGAAAATATAAAAAGCAATATAGGTGGTGATAATGAAGTAGACCCACTAACCTGCATTCATCCTCACATCCAATAGTATCCTCTACACAGCAAGCCACAGGCTACAAACCTGACCTCAATCACCGACACAACAGATTGAACTCTTTTCCCAAAAGAACACAAATGTGATGAAGACGAACTGTTTCTTAGATATGCCTTTGTTGACTTTCAATACAACATCTGCCCAGAGCTTCTGTATCAGCAACGTTATACACCATTTACTTGCTGTATTTACAAAGGCAATCTGCTGACAATGCAAATATCAATACATGCTTATTAGGGGAACATATATTAGCATGGGGATATATACATGCAAGAGCTTCCAACATGCAGTGTATTAAAGATTCCACAAAATGTATGCTACATTCCAGGTGCAATAAAGGAACTGTATGGTGTCTTTCCAATACATTACAAGTTACTCTATTTTTTTACTCTGAAAAGGTAACAAATGTACTATATTTACTGCTCTCTCTACTTTGCAAGTCTCCTCCAATAATCGTTGTTAGGTTTGGTATAACAACATTTCAAATGTATATTCCTAAGAGAAGGTTTGCATTTGCGTATCAAAAACACCTAACCGTATTACTAGATAAGGAGCATGTGGTACTGGTGGCCCCAATGGACGGACAGGCTTGATCCTACTAGTCAATCTCTTCATTGCAAGCTTTTCTCCGCAGCCACTTCAACGTTCTGACTTACATTTTGAAGGGAAATACGGTTTATATCAAGCTGTACCAACATGGCCTTGTCTCACTCCAACGATCAACTTAGCTGCACCCCCTCTTACTGGTCTCCATTAATGGATTTAGGTACCTGTGAAGAGGCCTAACTGATATACCATAGAACACAGTTCTGTTCAAAATCGTGGTATCTGCCACTATTTCTGAAATTAGCCCAGAAAGCTGTTTGGGGGTGAGCTGTTTCAGAGTTTGCTAATGGAGCTAATGTTAGCTGAAACGACTGCAGCAGATTCCAACATATGTGCAACAGTAACTGTTCAATCTACTAACCATACTCCGGCGTTCGATACCCGATGAAAACTGGAAGATTATTTTGGAAGTTGTAATATTATAGTGTTATTGCACGTCAACATATTCACCGACCCAGGCAACGCAGGAAGTTCGGTTTAGGCCACAGGAGTTTGTGTGTGAGTGTTTGGCCTTGGTGTAGCTTGTCAACGTTAGCTTCATTGAAACCAATTGGAAATAGCAAAGTAGAGAGAATGCAGTAGTACATTGAGGGAAGTAATGTCAGAAAATACAACAACTACAGTTGTAACGAGCAGCAGTGAAAAAGGACCACATCAACAGCTCTCTAGCCAGCTAACGTTAGCTTTTACTAGCCTCTGTGGTCGTAACAACACGTAGCCTGGTAGAAGCTAACATGTTAGCCAGTTAGCTAACTAGCCAGTGTTGGCTAACGCTGAATTTCTGCCCATAGATACAGTCATTCATAAACATAGCTAGCTAATTAAACAAACCAATATGTAAAAAGTTCATAGAACGACAAAACGTACCTAAACCGACGTTCTTTATGTTGC